TTAAATAATTTTTTGAAAAAAAATTTTTAATACTCAAAACTTTTGCAAGCAATCAAATATTTAACATTTGTTCTTAGCTAATATTTAATTACTCGTTAACTTAAAGACAAACGTGCAATTATTCTTCATTACATCCGCCGGCGGGAGGCAAATATTTCCGCCTCCAATTTGGCGGCCGCAGCCAGCTGGGAGGCAGAAGCTATAGGAAGCGGCTTCCAAATGCTATTGCCCCTTTTTTCTGGAGGCAGCCGCCATTGGCTTCCGACTCTCTATTGGCATTGGTCTCCAAAACATTTTTCCTCCAAAAACAAACTCTGAATGCGGCCGCCAATCGAAAGGTCGAAGCCACATAAGACAGAATAAAGAACATTTTGCCGCTAAAAATTAATAGGACGGCAGCCGCCGTCTGCTGCGAAAAAAAAGTGGAGGCGAGAAGATTTATGCCGTTTATCAACACTGGTTTAGAACTTTTCTGTAAATTCAAATATTAAAAATTCCTGAATCCGCTGAATTTAAATTTTTAAAAGTGAAACATGTGAAACTGACGTGAAACTGAAGTGAAAAAGTGAAACTGACAACGACTATGTATTATCAATTATAAGATTTTATATATCTCAGGCCATTTATTCTTCCAACAAACTTTTAAAAAATATTTTTTTATTAAAAAAGTTTTTATCATAATAATAATGTTAATAATAAATTATGTTAATAATAAATTATTTTATAACAAAGGTTTTGCCAATTATGATAAATTATTATGTATCGAAAGCATAGGTAAAAAAAAAATTTTTTTTTTTTTTTGCCTAATTTCTTCCAAAAAAATTAATTTTTTTTTTTTAATTAGAAAAGCTTTTTATCATAATAATAATGTTATTATTACAAGTATAATAATAATACTAAAAGTATAATAACAATAATAATAATACTAAAAGTATAACAAGGATGTTCTTACATAATTTTCTGAGTAGTCTTAAACTTATAATGTCTACAAGCGTATTTGTTTTTGCAAGATTTCGGAAATCTTTGATTTATAAACAAAAGTTTACAATATAATTAAAGATAAGGAAATTACGTTTAACTTTTTGAAAATTTTAAAAGAGAAAGCTTTTATGATTTTAGAGAAATCATGATTTAAGTTGACCGCACAGTTCCGTATCCAATCGATGTTAATGTTTTTTGTTAAAAAATTTAACGTGCGATCTACATTTGCAATAATTCTAAAGGCGAGTTTCCACTCACCCGTTTTTCTACGGGAACGGGATAGGAAAGGAAAAAGTAATCACGCGAGCATGCGTAATAAAAGTTTTTAGTTGTCAGCGCATGCTCACGTGATTTATTTTCCCTTTCTCCTAGAAAAACGGATGAGTGGAAACTCATCTTTAAAGCAATCTTTTGTTTACTCAACATAAATGCATTTTTTTAATTTTTTTGAATTTTTTTTTTATTTGTCATTAAAAAAAAGAATACAATGCCGTGTTGTATAAATAAAATCTACATGACCGGGGCTAAAAGAAGACAATATTTGCCTTATCACTACACCCCGAATACACCATTTCAAACAGGTCTAATTTAACAACTATTTGGCTCTGTATAGCAGTACTTTTTGAATTTTTATTTTTCATTATGAAAAATGGAAAAGTATGGCATAAAAAATGTTGCATTACTCTGGTTGAAAAACTTTTTGCTAAACAGACAACAATGTGTAAATACTGATGAAAATATCTGTTCAAAAATGCTAAAGATCAAATGAGGGGTTCCCCAAGGTTCCATTTTAGCTCCCTTACTGTTTTTAATATACATTAATGATCCTCCGAAAGCCTCAAACAAACTTGATGTCATAATGTTTGCAGATGACACTAATTTATTTTATTCATCTCCGTCAATTACAGAACTTTTTGAAACAACGAATATTGAACTCAAAAAATATAATATTTGGCTAAAATCTAATAAACTATCTTAAAACACAGAAAAAACTAATTACATCTTATTCCATCCAAATCAAAAAAAAAAAAAAAAACGACCAAATATATTGCAATTGCTAAAAATAGAAAAACAAAAATATTGAAAGAACCACAACAACTAAATTTCTAGGTTTACTTATTGATCAAAATATTTCATGGAAAGCCCATATTGACTATTTAAATACTAAAATAACCAAAAACATTGGCGTGCTATACAAAGCTAGACCATTGTTATCCCAATAAAATCTAAAACATCTTTATTTTTCATTTATACATACCTATTATACATATGATAATATAGCATGGGCCAGTACCCATAAATCTAATTTAAAATCACTTTATCAACATCAAAAACATGCCATTAGAATTGTCTATAAAAAAGATAAACTCACTCATGCTGAACCTTTGTTTAAACTCCTAAATGCACTAAACATCTATAGAATTAACATTTACCAAAACTTACTCTTTATGCTAAAATTTAAACTCGGGCTTATCCCACCACATTTCTTAAATGAATTCTTTAAAAGCAATAAAAATAGATATGACACTAGAGAAGTAGGAAACTTTAATGTACCGTTCAGAAAAACAAAACTGTCGCGTTTCACAATTTCCTATCTCTTTAAAAAACATATATTTAAAAATACCATTATTACAAAATTAGATAACATAAATTGTTTGAAATTCTTACTAAAAAAGTTCGTTTTAAATATCAACAATTATTTGAACTTACACTAAACTAAAACTGAAAGTAAAACCAAAATTATAATTGAAAACAAAATCCAAAAAAACTTCAATAATATATATTAATATAAAAAATCAATATAAGCCAATAATAATTATATTCATGCCTAATAATATATTTATGTATATTATGTGTACTACAAACAGTATTTACCAACTTTTTTATTTCTACATTTTATTATATGTGAACCTAATATAAAATGAAGTGTTTTGTGAAACTAGATACATTGTAAAACGAAAATACAAAAAATATTACAAGTACAAGCGGTTTCTCGATGACTAGACCATCTGGTCTTCTGCAAGTTTCCCGCGTTCTTTTAATATTAACGATACCTGACAATCATATTTTTTGTATTCTATAAAATTGTAATATATTTTTAGTGTAAAAACATTATAACATTGTACCAGTCATGTAGAATCACAACATTGTAAAGATAAAAAAACAAAAAAATAAAAATAAAAAATAAAAAATATATAAATATGTGCTCCTTCCGCGTCATATTTTCGACTAGAACAACACCTAATAATAACAATAAACGCTCTCTTATGACAAGTCTCAAGCAACTCTTGTATTGTAAGATACGAGAGTTGCTTGAGACTTGTCATAAGAGAGCGTTTATTGTTATTATTAGGTGTTGTTCTATAACTCTCGTATCGCAAGATGCAAGAGTTTTAGGAGAACAAAAGATTTTTTTCTCTGCTTCATTTTTAAGTTTGTCTACTCGGTGTAGTTAAGGCACTTTTAAAATATTATAACGTCTGTATGATATTTTGTTGACTACAACATATTTCCGATAAATAATCTGGTCTGTGAATTATGAAAAGGCGAAAAATATTAAAATGATAAATTTTGCGGTATCATAAAAAATAAATGTTTGTAGCAAAAAAATCCAGACCGAAGATTCTTTTTTTTTAAAAAAAATCACCTTAAAATCTCAATCGTCTGTCAAATTTGAAAAAGTTTTTATATTAATACGTTTTTTAAATAAAATGCACAATTTAAAAGTTATATGTAAAATATATCTTCTAAATTTTCTGCAAAATTTATCAAATATACAGTAAAAATGCTTAATATTAAAAGTCATTTAGCTTTAAATATTCGTATCTCAGGGATAAAAAAACGTTTTTTCCAATTTTCTTTCTAATTTATACAGAAAAAGTATTCCACTAATTTATATTGTAAAATAAAATAATAAAATTAAAAACTAGATTTGAGTTTCAAAATATTTAAAATGAGAGCAGTTAGTTTGACCGAGCTTTCAAGAGCAGTTAGTTTGACCATCTTATAAGTTCGGTCACATTTCAAACAACACATAGTAATATCACAAATTTTATAAGTTAGTAACATCATAAATTACGAAAACTAGTTTTTTAATGTTATTTTATAATAAAATTATGAAACAAAATCGTTTAATACAATTAAATTTTTTTTTTTTTTTTTTCAATTAACAACTTTGATAAAAAAAAATTTGCTTAAAAGCAAAAATCAATATCAATTTTTAGCAAACAATTTTATATAAATATACTAATATTAAATATTATCATTACTTTCAGTGTTCACTTATTTCAAATTTTAATAATATGGTTTTTGAATTTTTATTTGCAAACGAATTATTTCATCGCGGTGCAATTAAATAACTTTGTAACAGGTTGATACACGTTTTTCACAATCAACATTTTACGAATTGATGTAAATTCGCGATGGTAATTATACAACCGTTGACACTTGCAAATTTTAAAGATATTATCCTCAGAATTAAATTAAAAGATATTTTTCTAGAATTACTTGGGGTGTTTGTCTTTATGGCCTTGTAAAGGTCATAATGACTAACACTTTCAGTAATATGTCTTTTAAAGTTTGCCGAAACTTTAAAAGAAATACTACTTTTACTAATAATAATATTATTTACATGTCATTTACGTTGTCTATGATATTATTGTTTGTATTTAATCCGTTTATGTTTCAACTTTGTGTACGCCTATGTTGTAACGGAGAGCTGTCTAATTTAAAAAATGTTTTTTTTAATTTGTAAATTGTTTTTGTAGAAGATATCATATTTTGATAGCGATAATTGTTATTTTAGCAGTTATTATAGTTTGATTTCGATAAGGTCAGATATAAAAGTCGACAAAGTAAAATATCGCGCAAAAAAGGGTAATAAAAAATTGCAACCAAGTAAGAAATACGTAAAACAAAAAATTTTTTTTTTCTGGTATAGCGTATTTTCTGGTATACAATACCTCTCTGTCAATAACTCTCGAAGCTTAATTTTGATTTATTGAAAAAGAGAAAAATGTAGTTTTGATATAAACTAAGGAGCAAAAACTTATTTTAGCATCTAACAGAAAGATGTATATCGTAACTTTTTAAATTTACAACACCGCTGTCACATACACTGTTTAGATCTAAGCGTGGTTTATCTCATGAAGATATCGGTAAAACTTTAGTTTAAATTTAATATATATAGATAACCACAGTTTTGTAATTTTAAAGACCTACGTAGTATTTATATATTAAATAGACGGAAAGGGGCCAAGCGCTATCTGTATGGTTTTGAGAAGATATTAAGAAAAAAAGTAAAATACTGTTTCCACTCGATATAGCAGTATATTGGATAATCCAGTATACTGTAACAGAAAGAAAACCATTTTCTCAAAACCATACAGATGACACTTTGTCCCTTTTCGTTAAAAGCGTCCAAATATACATATATTTATATTTATATATTTGAGCAACGCGAAAATTAAAATTTAATTATATTTATGCGCTCTGAGCTTGCCCATATACGATTACCATAAGTGTATAAATGTGATCGGTTGACATGGTGCTCCATGCTTTTTATATTTACTTTTCCGAAGAGATAAATATATGAATTAAATTTTCTTTTGATTTGTTTTATTGTTTTTTTTTAATTTATGTACTTTATTTGTTAAATAAATTAACTTAAAGTTTAAATAAATTTAATTATAAAACTATTAGTAGCCAACTTAACTCAATAAAGAGTTAATTCATCGAATCACTAAATTTTAGTGATTCATTATGTTTATAGCATTATTTTTAATTAAAATTAATGCTTTTTTAATTGACTAATTTATGATAAATTAATTACAAGAAAATCGATACTCAAACAATGAAAATCGTAACCACATTTTGTATATAATTGTATATAATTATTAATTTATTTAATAATTTTTTAATGTATTTTATTTGTAGTAATGTATTTGTTATTTTTAATGTATTTAAAATAAGTTTTTTTTATGTGTTTTATTAAAGCTTGTAAATAGCTTATTTTACATTACTTATTTAATTTTTTTTATTGCTATATTAGTTAATTTTTTATTGCTTATATTAGTTATTAGTTAAAACTTAAGTAACATTATTCTAATACAGCATTTACACTAAATGCATAATCCAATGTTTAAAAATAAATTACACATTTGTAACTAATACTGATAATGATGCTTAAGGACAGAAAAATATCATATAAGGATACTGATTAATTAACCTTAAAATATTCAAATAATCTTAAATTAAAATATTAATAACAAAAATATTTCAGGCCAGGATTATTATAATTACCCTGATACTGGTAACATATAATATATAATATTATATGGTACCAGTATAACATATAGGAGAAGTTAACTCTGACTTAAAACACCCTCTGTCTTGGGACTCTTGGTTGATTAATAACTAGAAATAGTGTCTTGATAAAAATGCTTATCTTGGGTAGATATTAGCATAAAACTAATGTTTTGTTGAGAATCTACTAGGAAAAGACTTAAGGAAAAGAATTTTGTAGAGAATCTACTAGGAAAAGACTAAAGGAAAAGACTTTACAGATAAGCAGGAAGTTTGTTGACCAACCTTGAATACCTCCTTGACCTAACAAGCTGGCATAGAGTTAAACTTTTGTTACATTTTTTACTGCTTAGGATGATAAAAATTGGATTTTCTTGACTTCATTCACAGGTTTTAGCTTGTGTCTCCTTTCTGCTATTTTCTAATAAAGGTACAGCTCTGCAATGCAATTTAGTGGTACTGCCATAAGTAAGATTTCCAAACTCTTTGGTAGCTCTGGGAGATGCTGATTTTAAAATATCAGAGTATTATCAATGAAAATTTGTGCATGGATGATCTCCCTGTTATTGGATTGCAGTGGCTACATAAGAAGTCTTTTGTTACAATTTAGAGATGGTTAGCATGACTGAGTCAACTTATTGTATACGATGCTATGCACTATTTAATTGAGTCAAATTTAATAATTGTAGTAAATAAAAAAAATTAAACATAAAAAAACCTTTAAATTATCAAACTATTTCTATCTTTCTTTTAGAAGCAATAGTGATCTTGAAGGTAACATTTTATCTGTTGAATCTTATTTCAAGCAAAATTCATCCGATCTAGTTGCTCATTTTAATTTAAGATGGACTGTTTCACAAACTTCTAATATCTCATCTTTTATAAAACAACTTACTCTCTGACAATCATTACAGGTCTTCTTGTTCTACTGCTGACTTTTCAACTGTTGTAACTGAAAGATTGTCCATTAGGTAAAAGCATCCAGGCAAGACAATTGTTCTTGGCTTATCAAAGCTGGAATAGTTTTAATTCTAAAATCATTCTTTTTTAACTCAACGTTGAAATTGTTCACAACATACCTCTTTATTTCCAGTAACTTCCGTTTACAACAAGGTTCCTTGGTCATGTGTTGTTTCTTATTTAAATTAATAATCTTGATAATCTTATTTTTATATTTGCAGATGATGTAACTATATACTGCAGTCTTGGCAAAAAGTCATTCTTTTTGATTGCTTTAAACTGTCAGCTATTTTGAATCTGATTTCTCTTCTGTGACAGGATTAGGCAGTGGAGTGTTTTTACCCCAAACCAAATTTGGTTGTTTACTGCTAATAATTTTTGCAGTGTAGTTATTGTTGAGGTTGCGTCTTTTTATTGTGGCTGCCATTTTTATACTTTTAATTTCATTCTCTACCTCTATAAATCACTTATTCATTTTCGTATGTGTTACTGTTATCATATTTGTTGTGATTCTTCTAATGATGCCTTTTCAGTTATTATATAACTGAAACATAAATAATACTTTTAAATTTCACAATACAATGATATTTCTTTAATAAAATAAAAAACATTAATTATAACTCTCATTAATTCTAATAAACATTATATTTGTTCTCAATTTTAAGACAAAATGTTTATTGAATGTTTAAAAAAGTTTTTATACAAATACAATACTACAATGTCATTTTGTTATCAAATACAAATACAAATATGTATTTGACACCAATCGTGTCATGTTTTCTGAAAATATTAAATTAACAAAACTTTATATATTATGATGAAATTTTGGGTAACAGCCTTTACATTTACATTTTAGGATCTTGTCCAAAGAAAAGGCATTATTAGAAAAATCACAACAAATATGACAACAGTAATACATACAAAAATGTTTTATCAAAGTGATTTATAGAGGTAGATAAGAAAATTAAAAGTGTATAATATAATACTTTTGTTTTAATAAAAATAGTTAAGTTCTTCAATTTTATTTGTGGTCTTTGAAGAAGAATGTTGAGATGCTTGCTTTTTTGATTTTGCTTCCTTTTTTTTCTGTAAATTTTATTTCTTTTACTTCAAATAAGTTTTATATCTCAACATTCTACTTCATAGAAAAATCAGACCATCGACTGCAACCCACATGCTAATTAATGTTATTGCTGAAGGCCTTCTGCCTTGTTATTGTAGAAAGTGAGACTTGATTTTTCCAACTAAATCAGTTGAGATATACAAGAAGCTAAAAGATATTTATGCTACAGTAAAAAAGTTATATTAGGCAGATTATATATGGTCTAACAACAAATGTATCTGTGTTCATATATCGTAATAATATGTCACTTAATTGTTGACTGCAAGATGAAAAGTTATGCTCTGCTGTTAATGGTTCTTTGGTTCTCACAGCAGAAGAAATTAAATTACACATTGAAGAGTTTGTTAAGACTTTTAATGGTTTGAAGGAAGCTAGCCATATCACCCAAGTTATAGCCAAAGTGTCAAAATTGATATCTTATTTTCATCATTCTAGCTTAGCATCAGATTTGTTGCAAGGTGAACTAAGCCTTTAAATTGCAATTCAACTAGTTGGAACAGCCATCTTATAGTGATCAGGTCCTTAAAGTTGACACTGGGATATTGGTTAAACTTGATTTCAAGTTCAAAATCAGTCAATATGATAGAAACCTTTATATGCAGTTGTCAGAAATATAAGTTTCTTTTAAATCTGCAACAGATGCAAAGTTGAAATACTGTCGCAGTCAGTGCTATCGTGTCTTGCATTCACGGCTTGCATTCCAATATCACAGTTTTATATAAATGTATCATTGTAAGTTTGCACTAACTCTTAATGTCTAGCAAAATATAAAAGTATTGATGTATTTCAAATTGCATATGCCTTGGATCCATGCTTTAAGCTAATGTGATGATCTCTTACTAGGTTGATCTATTAATGGGTTATCACCAGCTATATATCAATACTTCTTTTAATTGACTAAATCCAAGAAAAAGGTTCACGCTCTTTGCCTTCATGGGAATATGTGCCTCTGTAACTCCAGACAACCAAACCACCAATTAGCAGAGTACTATGTAGATAAATATTTGGAGCAATCTTACTCCAAATATTTATCTATTCTTTTTTTTTTCTGGTAACTCCCAACTTAATAGTTGTTATTACTGTATCACTTGTTTTATGTATTCTATTTTTTTACAACAATAAATTGCACACAAACATTTAGATTTAAATCAAATAGAATCAAAATTAAAATTTTTTGAAGCATATAGTGAGTTTTAATGATGGATGATGAAAGGTAATTTTTTTGTAACTACTTTAATTTTTTAAATATTGCTAATTTGTTGATAGTTATGCTTTTTGATAATAATATTCAATATTTATAATTATGCTTATAATTACCTTAAGGTTGAATATCTTTAAAACTTTGATATTTTCTAATGTTTTTATATTAGGAGAACTCATTTAAATAGAAATAAAAATAAATTCATTTATATAGTTGTAATCAAACATAATCATAAAAAACACAAATTTTCAAATTAGATATATTTTTTCATAAAATTCTTTATTAATTTATATTTAATATATTTTATTCAAAACAATCATTAAAATTTGTTACTTAATTTAGAAGCGTTCAAAATTTAGTTGTTGTTGTTGTTTTGTAAACTTTCTAATTAAGTGTTTTTATACTACTAGGGTAGTAAAATACATTTAATTAGAAAGTTTACAAAATATAAAAAAAAAAAAACTTTGTTATGTTTTCAACATCATTACTTACTTGTAAAATAACAAAAGTAGATGTTTTCCGCGTTAGCTTGTCTTTTGAGTGTATAGCATATTTCTAGCTTTTACTTC